CGAGACCAGTCCCTGCAGAAGGACATAATCCTGGGTAACGAGAAGGGGCAGCAAAAAAGAGGAAGGCGCTCAAGGAGCTGGATTGACCAGGCAGCTGCATCCACCTGCAAGGTGCTTCCTTCCCCTGGGCATAGGGTTGCTGTGGGTTGGGGACCGACTCGATGGCACAAAGCAAGAGAAATTATTGATTCCTTTTAAGAAGACTTCAGGGAGACGGTTTCAGGAGTTGACCCAACCTCCAGCCTCTAGAAAGGCTGGATGGACTCTATGAGAATTTGAAGTTCGGTTCTGTACATTCCACTGTTTGGTCAGGATTCTGCGATGGAATCTTTGATTGAAATGTTCATAATGGTAGCCAGTCACCATCCAGATCTGGTCTCTTGGCAAAGGAGGTGGTTGTACATACAGGCAGTTAGCCACAGACTCCATTAAAAAATCCTAACTGCCATCAAGCGCCTAGCAAGCTTAAAGGACAAAGCAGAACTGCCACTATGAGCTGCACGGGCTGAATTTCTTTGTGGAAGGAGAAAACTCCATCGTTCTCCACAGAGCAGCTGGTAGCTTTGAACTGCTGACCTTTCCTTTAGCAGCCCAATGCATAACCACTGTGCCATCTGGGCTCCTGGCCCTCATCCCATAACGGGAATATCTTTCTTCCCCTGCTGTTGCAGGTGCACAGACACCCACTGTCCCCTGGATGGCTGCTTGCAAGCCCGGGCTCTGAGCACTGAGCTGCAGGCAGAGTGGAAGCCCTGACCTTGTTACAAGGCTAGTTTACTGAGATGTCCCAGGAAACCTAGACCCTAAACGTCCCAGTCAATGAGCCAATCGCAGGAGGCTGTGCAGAAGCAGCCTCAGAAGCTTCCTCCCAGGTCCGAGGAAGAACACTTCGTTGGACAGTGGTGTGACTGTGAGGTTGTGAAGCCTGAGGAAGGCAGGGGAAGGGCAGAGAGAGAGGTGGAATCTGAGGGGCTTTTCAGAGACCGCAGAGAAGCTGTCCTTGGACACTCGTAGAAACAGGTCTAGGACTTGGGGGAGAGGCCCATGATGAAGATTTGAAATTTGGAATCCCTAAGTCGGTATAGAAAGTATCTAAAAGAAGAGGCTCAGGAGAGATTCCCGAAGGGGAGGCAAAGAACAGAGCTGCAGGACTGGGCGCTGGGATATTCAAACAGTGAGAAGGCAAAATCCGAGAGGGGGGCAGAAGAGGAGGCTGACGGGAGTGTCCAGAGTGGTCGATGGAAAACCTGGAGAGTGTTGTATCCAGGGAACCAAATAAAGCAAGCGTCTTAAAAAAGGATGAGTGAATAAAACCGAAAAGAACAAACGAAACGAGAAAGAAAAAGCAAGAAGGAGGCCGTGGCCCCTGCCGGGGTGATCTCTCCACCTGGTGTTCTGCAGTAAGCAGTGTGAGCTTTCTATCCAAATAGGAAACGATGGAGGTGAGAAATAACAGCAGTAATATATAATGGATCATGGATCCTCCAGGTGGGAGGGGAGGGGATGGAGGGGAAAAAGAGGAGCTGATCCCAAGGGCTCAAGTAGAAAGAACATATTTTGGAAATGTTGATGGCCACATATCTCCAAATGTGTTTAATATGATTGTATGATGACTTGTTTAAGATTTGTAAGAGTCCCCCAATAAAATGATTAATAAGGAAAAAAATCAAGGAGGCAAGGTTCAGTGGACTTGGGCTGACGGACGCAAAATGTGGCAGACAGTTCGGATCGGAAGATGGCAAAGTGGAGCGAAGCTGGCTGTGAGCCGGAGATCCGGAACAGGCCAGAGACCCTGAGCAGGTGGGAGATCCCTGAGCCGGACGGAGATCAGGAACAGAGCGCTTGTCTTCCCTTGGCTGTGGTCACCGAGCTGAGTCCATTTCTGAGGGCATCCTTCACCAATGGCAACAAGGAGGTCAAACTGCCCGCCCTCACATCCCCTCCCAACCCCAAACATCAGAATTACAGCCCTGAAGGTACCTGCAGGGGGTGGGGAGGGGAGGGGGAGCTGATAGCATGGATGACTGTATAACCCCACTCAGGGAGTGAACTAAGGAACTATACGTGAATGGATATACAGGATGGTGTAAGATATGGCTGGAAAACAAACAAGCAAACAATAAATAAATGAGAGTTCCTAGAGAGTAGGGTTGGGGGTGGGGGGTGGGGTAAAGAATAGCTGATATCAATGAGTTCAAGAAGAGAGAAAATGTTTTGAAACTGATTGTGGTAGCAGTTGTACAGTACTGCGTGATGTGATTGAACTGTGGAATGCTATGATATCTGTAAGAGCTCCCAATAAAATTACCTAAAAAAATAAAAAGCTCAGCATAAATTCCCTCTAGGAGGCTCCTTCAATTCAAAATCAAGCCCATTGCAAACAAAACAAAATAAAAAGATGGGTGTTCAGCCATGCTGAAGTCTGAGAAGAGGTTATGTGGAAGGCGGGCACAGAAAGGTTGACTGCATTTGGCAGCACAGGGGGGTTATAACCTTGAACCCGCGAGCTTCAGTGAACTGCATGGCATAGAATCGAGAGTGTGTGTGGGGTGGGGTGGGGTGGGGGTGCAGCACAGTTGAAGAGTAAGGTTGACTTCTGGATAGAAGTGGTGTGGGGTGCGGGACAGTTGAAGAGTAAGGTTGACTTCTGGATCGAAATGGTAGATGAAGCCCAAACTAACAAACCCAAACCTAAGTCAATCACAAACCCCAGGAAACACGTAAAGGTGTCCAGACAAAGGCCAATGCAATGCACTAAATGACTGTGTCCTGAAGAGCCGGCCTACAGCCAAACTCGTACAAGGAATCCAGCCAGGATGGCATCATTGGACCAAGAAAAGGTGAGTATAGAGGGTGCATGCATGAGGGAAGGGTGCATAAATACACGTGAAAGAGCTAAATCCCCATCCCCCCCCCCAAAATGACAAACAAGTCAAGAGCTGGAGCTCAGGATAGGGAAGGAGAAGAAAAGGTCCGAATGGAGGTATGCAAAAGTGGTCTAGGAAAGGGATAGAGTTGTCTGAGAGAAGTGTCGACTGTGTGTGAGATGTGACATGTCAGCCCATGAGAGATAGCCCCAGGCAGTGCAGGTTCCCAGAAGGTGCTGGGATAAGAATGCCCTGCATCATGTATATGGAGATGGGGTTAGGGATCTTCAATAGGGCCCCTGTATGGGAAGCAGGTCTTACAGCGATGATCCTGGTAGGCATCACAGGGTGGGGCATGGATGTACTAGCCTGTCCTAGAACATGAGCCCTCACATGATCTCTCCCCATCAATGTGGGGTTGGTAAGTCAGATGTGACTTGCATGCAGTGTGAGGTCCCAGAGCAAGTTCACACCGTTGACCTAGGCTAGACCTCTTAGATCTCTAGCTTTTACAACTCAGAATCTCAATAGGGTAAGAGCTTCCGGGCTCAGTTTGGCTTCCAGACCAGTAGTAAAATAAAAAATGCCTCCCAGATTAAGAACCCAAGAAGCTACTCTCTGAGATATCACTTCAGTGATTAATAATAATCATCCCCCTGAAACAAACCCACAGCTAGCAAGTAGATTTTGATGCGTGGTAAGCTTGTATAGAGTTTCTGAGGCTGTACATCTTGATGGGAGAAGACAATTTCATCTTTCTTCTGAGGAGCGGCTGGTGTGTTTGAACCAGCAACTTTGGAGTTAGCAGCCCAGTGCTTAACGCATGGCACCAGCAAGGCTCCTTAAATAATAAGAGCATTTGGTCACATGGCACTAGCCTTTAGCTATCATCAAGATGATTCTAACTCATGGCAACTCAGGTATTTCAAAGGAGAGCTCCACATAGGATGTTCAGTGCCTGAGACCTTTTAGAAATAGATTGCCAGGCTTTTCTTCCAAGGCGCCACTGAGTGGATTTGAACTGACCACTTTTCTGATAATTTCTGGACATTTAACTTTTTGTAACACCCAGGGACTTCTAACAATCTGATAATCCCAGCAATCTAGCACCATCAAGTCCATTCTGACTGACAGGCAGCCTGCAGAACTGAGTAGAAGGACCCTTCCGGTCTCTGAGAGTGTCCATCTTGATGGGAATGGGCAGCTCCATCCTTCCTCAGTGGAGTGACCGGTGGGCTCCACAGGGCAGCAGTGCCCCTGCCAGCCCGCTGCCTCACCACCCACATCTCAGGGACGGTGCTGCTATTAATTCAATTTGCAATGAGACAGATGCTTTTCTAAGATGTCCACATCTCACGTGTTCCTCACAACAGCCCTGTGAGGTGCTTACTACGATTTCTCTACGTCGGAGGGAAACGAGGCACAGAGAGGTTAAGTGACGTGCCAAGGCATGACAGTTCAAACACCGGAAGCCAGATTCAGACAAGGCCACCACTCTGATGTCCCCACAATAACCACTGCCCAGCACTGCCTCTCAAATGGTCCTCACAGTCCCTCAGGGGCAGTCCTGAAAGGGCTGGTCTCAGGGCCTGAGTGGGGAAGGGTAGGGAGCATCTAAGGGCACCCTCCTGGCACTGGACCCCTCACTGCACTGGCGGCGAGGAGCAGCCTTCTTTAACTCCGGAGCTTCCCTACACATCCTGGCACCTCTCAGAGAGCAGCCTACAGGGGTGGGGTGGGTGTCCACCTCAAGAGGCTGGGGGTGACTATCCTGGGTCCAAAGCTCAGATAGAAACATGGTGGCCCCAGGGGAGGGAGCAGAGACTCCTTCAGAGCTGCCAGCCGGTGTGGCCCTGGGTGCTGGGTCCTGAACCAAAGACGCTCCTGAACCTGGGAGCTGGGAGGGGAAAGTGGGATGTGCATTGTAGCCTTATCTGGGCGTTCAGAAATCTTGCACAGCATTTTAGGGGCATCCTGACTGTCCCTCTCCCAAGTCTGAAAAGCCACAGGCACACCTCAGCAGTTCCGGTGACACCACTAAGAATGACAGCCTGGGAGGCCCGCACACCTCCTCCCCCTCAGCCTGGCACAGACAGGCCCACGTGCGTCCCCAGACGCCTGAATCACCACTGATGGCTTGGGACTTGGAGGTCGGTCGTGGGCTCCTGGGGAGCCATGAGGGGGGCTGGCTGCCTCTGAGGGCCCACCTGTGGATATAAATAGGCAGCTAGCCAAGGCAGCGCCGCAGAGCCTCTGAGCAGCACCGCGCCAGGATGTCCAACTGCGTGCTGTCCGCCTGCTTCCTCGGCCTGCTGGCCCTCACCTCTGCCTGCTATTTCACGAACTGCCCAAGGGGCGGCAAGAGAGCCCTTGTGGACATGGAGCTGAGACAGGTACGGTCCAGACAGCCCTTCCTGAGGCTGCCCCAGTGTGTGGTGCCCCAGGGCAGGTGCCGCCAGGCATCCTGGGAGCAGGCAGGCTTCAGGGGAAGTGCTGGGCAGGAGCAGGGAGGCTTAGCATGACAGGGCAGAGAAAACTATAGGGTGGGCCAGGGACCAGCTTGGTGGTGGGCTGGGAGGAGCTAAGGGGTTCCAGTTCCTGTGCCATGCAGCGAGGGGATGCAGAAACGTGAGAGACACTTTTCTGTAAGTGTCAGGGAGAACTGAGCAGTCAGACTCCTCTGTGCCATGGGGGCCCCTCAGCGAGGCTCACTGGAGTCCTCCAGGTTCAGTCCTGCCAGCCAATACAGGCTGCCCCTGAGCCACAGCTTCTGTTGGCCACAAGTCCCCAGTCCCCAAAGGAGAGACTCTCTGGATGCTCCTGAGTGGAGGGGCCACTCGGGCATGCTGTCAGGAAGTTCTGGCAGACACCAGCCCACTTCTCTCCTGCTGTACCTCCAGCCCTGCTCCTGAAGTTCACTTTTACCTGGGCCACAGGCAGCCCAATTGCAGGCTGTTCAACACGCTGATCTGGGCAGGTGGGCAGCCCCAACAGGCCACCCTCTCCTCTGGTTGGCTTTCTTGAAAACCCAGACCATGTCTAGGGCTCAGGTCTGCCACCCTCTCTGTTAGCCCGCAGGTGGGGGTGAACAGGGACAGGTAAGGGCCAATCAAGAGAAGAGACCAGACCTGGGAGAAGGCCAGAGTGTGTTCAGGAGGGTGGGGCTATGCACACAGGGTAGGGACCTACCTGTAGAGACAGGGCAGGGGGAGGAGAGTCTGGTAAGAGGGAGGGCAGTGGGCAGGTGAGAGGGGTCTGACCACGAATGTTTCTGAGCTGCAGAGGAAATTGTGCCCCTGAGGTATCTCTGAGGGACCCCTCTCCCCATTGAGAGTGAGCTAAGGGAGGGCTGTCACAGAGCTGCCCCTCAGCTACCTGGTTCCAGAGCAGTAGGGGACATTTCACTCTGTGACTTTGTGGTTCCAATGCCGCCGTGGGCACCCAGAAGCTTCGCCCCCATAACTGCCCACCCCTCCCCCCAGTTCAGAGGGGCTGTGGGAGGCCCTGTCCTGCTCACCCACTGTCCCCACAGTGCCTCCCCTGTGGCCCAGGGGGCAAGGGGCGCTGCTTCGGGCCCAGCATCTGCTGCGAGGAAGAGCTGGGCTGCTTCATGGGCACGGCCGAGGCGCTGCGCTGCCAGGAGGAGAACTACCTGCTGTCGCCCTGCCAGTCTGGCCAGAAGCCCTGCGGGAACGGGGGTCGCTGCGCCGCCGCCGGCCTCTGCTGCAGCCCGGGTGAGCCATCGCGGGGCTGAGCCTGGGCCCCAGGGGCCACTGGGCGGGCAGTCCTGGGTCCCAGTCCAAGAGGGCAGAGCGGGGCTCAAGGTGGGCGGAGGAGGCAGGCTCGGACGGGTCCCCCAAACCAGGCTCAGGCCGTGTCCTTTGGGGAGCGCGGGGTCCAGCGGCGCGGTCTCAGGCGTTGCTCCCCGCAGAGGGCTGCGTGGCAGAGCCAGAGTGCCTGGAAGCCGCAGGCAGTCGCCGCCACGCCCGCGCCAGCGACCAGAGCAACGCGACTCAGCTGGACGCGCCCACCGGGGCCCTGCTGCTGCGGCTGGTGCAGCTGGCAGCGAGGCCCGAACCCGAGGAGCCCAAACCAGGGGTCTACTGAACGCTGAGCGCCACCATGCCCGCCCGCCCCCATGTCCCACTGATAAACCGTTGTACACGCCCCGTGTCTGCCGGAGTCTTTTTGGGCGGGTGTGAGGGAGGACGCAGGAAGGTGTGGGGCACACGGGCTGGGTGCTGACTCCACTGCAGCCTAAGGAAAGGGCGTGTCCTGAGGAGATCAGGATCCAGTTAAGGGTCCTCATCCTTGGGAGACCCTGGAACCCTGGTGGCAGGGAGGGGTGGGTCAGAGGTGAAGAGGTGGGTTGGGGGACTCTGGCCGAGGAGCGGAAGCAAAGGCAGTGAGGGGCCCGACTTCGGGTCATAAGACAGCAAGTGAGGATCAGAGATGGCAGAGCACTGGGGGTGGAGGAGGACAGAGAGGGGACAAGAGACCAAAAGCCACCAGAGCTGGGCCCCCGAGGGTAGCAGATGCGGGCAGCTGTTGGACTGATACTGGGTCAGGGCTTCCTTCCCTCTCCCAGCCCTCCCCTGCCACCTGGCTCCGTGGGCAGAGAGGGAGGGGCAGGGCTTAGAGATCACAGCAGGACAGAAGGAGAGACGCCTTGGACTCTTAGGAGGAAGGACAGAAAGAAGGACAGACAAGAGGAGGAGGGAAGGAGGACAGGAACCTGGAATGGCCTGGAGAATCAGATGTGACAGTTGTCCTTGACCAATGAGCCAGGGTGACCAGGAATTCCTGTCCCGTTCACATCCCAGGAGACTCGGGCACAGGAAGCTTCTGGGCCCAGCAGGTCTCCAGATTCCCAGTCCATGGACTGTTTCCCACAAGACTGTGCTGGGGGGTGTGCGGAGGGGGCAGAGAGACTGGAATCCCCCAGGAAGCACCCATGTCTGTCTGGGAGGAAGGAAAGCACCCACACTGGGGCCCCTCAGCCAGGCTGAGCAGCACCGCGCCAGGATGTCCAACTGCGTGCTGTCCGCCTGCTTCCTCGGCCTGCTGGCCCTCACCTCTGCCTGCTATTTCACGAACTGC